ATAAACCTGATGAAAACATTGTTCATCTGTTACTGTTTTTCACTTCTATTTCCATTTGATTTTTTCTTATGGTTTTCATCTCTCTGCTCAAATTACCCATCTAATCTTGCCTGTTGTGCACATTTTATATTACAACATTTAACATATTACTCATAGCTATTTTAAATTCCTTGTCAGATAGTCCAATAGCTATGTTATTTTTAAGTTTAGTTCTGAGGATTGATTTATTTCTTGGTGGGGGATGAGATGGGGAAGTATTGATTTCTCTTGCATTTTTTTTCCTGAAAGCCAGGTTATCTCATATAGGGCAATAAAAACAAAGGTAAATAGATTTAATTACTGGAAAGGGCATGTCTTTCCTTCTACTGAGCTTCTAGTATGTGTATGGGGGCAGGGGAAGTTACATTAATATAGTCCGGAATTGGGCTAGGTTTAAGATTTGTTGTTGTTGGGGTTACCCTAAGTTTACCACAGGCTTCACATATCACTAGTGATTTCTTATTTTTAGGGTGAGGGCTGGTTTTCTCAAGGTTTATCTCAATGTCTGGGTCATCTCCAGGTTTATGTGTGCCCTTTGGATTATGCCTCAGAGACAGTCCAGCTATACTATTTTCATTTTTCCACTTAAATATTTATTGAGTGCTTACCACTTAACTATGTGCCAGTCACTGTAGTAAATGCTGGAAGTTGTAACTCTCCAAATACTCTGCCATTATTTCATGCATTTGTACTTTTCCCTCTGCTTTCAATAGCCTTTTGTGTGCCTAATAAATTCCTGTTCTTCCTTTAATTCTATCACCATCTGTAGAAGCAATCCCTGTCTACGTATTCTCCATCACCGTGGAGTTCATCTTCCTCTTCTCCATACTACCTGTTTACCTTATACATATTCCTGTATTTCAGCATCCTATATTCCCTAGTAAACTGTGCTTGTGTGCAAGAATAGTGTCTTATTAGCTTATACATCCTATTAGCTTATACAATCACTTATAGCAGTGATTGGTACACAAATAGATTCATGCACAACAAATGTGCAGCAAAATGTTTGCTAAAGCAGAACTGGAAATCCATAGGTGTCTCTTAGAAGCAAAATACTGGCATAACGGGCTCTCTTACACCAGTCTAGTGATAAAACAAAATACTTTTGTCAATTAAGTTTTCAGGATTTTAAAAAAGAACAAACTTGGGCCGGCCCGGTGGTGCACTGCTACAGTGCGCCGCTTGGGAGCGAGGCGGCGCTCCCGCCGAGGGTTCGGATCCCACATACAGACCGGTTCCCGCTCACTGGCTGAGCAAGGGGTGGGTGCAGCACCGAGGGTTGCAATCCGTTGCTGGACACGAAAAAAGACAAAAAGGAAAAAAAAAAAAAAAGAACAAACTTGATTTTTCTTAATTTGGATGCATTTTTAAAACTCATGTAATGCAAAAACATTAAAATAAAGATTTCAGTTCTTTAGGAATTAACTAAGTTCCTAGTAGTTGAGAGCACACACGGGCGTGGAGTTACTTTACTTTCATGGTACCCTCAGAAATTGTTGGGAGCCTAAAGCCCCACACCTCTTCTTGTGAGACCACTCCTACGTGACAATCTGCTCAGATGGCCGTACTTTACAAATCTGCTCAGATGGCCGTGCTTTACATGATAACTGCCTCGAAATCTTTATGCCAGAAACTGATTGCTCCTGGCTATGCAAGTTAATTTGCAAGTGACCTTTTATCCTTCTCTAGAAACTGTTTAACCATAAACATTCTGGGTGGCAACCTTTACTTTGAATGTCCTGTCTTTGTCTCTCCTCAAGATATTATCATATCTTTACATTCCAGACCCTTTGCAGCATGCCTGCCTTCTCCTATATAAGATGTAACCTAAGAATCAATAAACGAGACTTGATCAGAATACTGTCTTGTCTCAATTTCTCGTGTCTCTTGTCCCATCCAATTCCCACTCCCCCCTCCAGGGTCTGCGTTGAATATCCCGCGGGTCGGGACATTTTTGGCGCCCAACGTGGGGCCTGGATACGGGGGACAAAGTGAGGAAGAAGGCGCATAGGAGGGTCGACCACTGAAAATGAAAGAGTAAAACCTTCATCCGCCGCGGGAACCTGCTGCGTCAGGATAAGGTGAGTAAGAGCGCCTGATAATGGGACAAGAATTAAGAATTAAGAATCAAAAATTAAGAATTAAGAATTAAGTTGTCATGACGTGTACATAAGACAGTTACAAAAAGCTTTAAAGACACGAGGAGTAAAGGTTAAAACAAGTGATCTATTAAGATTTTTTGATTTCGTGAAGAATTTTTGTCCTTGGTTCCCAGAAGAAGGGACTACTAATTATAAAAGGTGGTCTTGAGTTGGAGATATCTGTGGGTTCCGGGGTGCTGAGGATAGAAGCTGAGATAGCAGAGTGTGAGATATTAGTGGCCCAGGAGACAAAAGTGGAGACTTCAGGGGTCTCAGGGCCAGAGGCTGGTGAGGCAGGAGTCACAGCATGAAGAAGTTGCAGATAAGTTTTTCTGTTAAGAAAAGAGAATACAGTGCTAGGAAGTGTAAATAGCGAGCAGCTTACTAAGATATTGCTTAGCGTTTTAGGTTTGTAATTTTGATAATGTTAAAAGATATGAGGAAAAAGGAAGACTTAAAGCTTGAGAGAAGAAAAAAAAATGCTTATAGAACAAGACGGAGGTTGAGAATGAACCTTTTTCATGGAAAGAAAAAAAAAATTCTTTAAAAAAGATGTTGAAAGGAAGAACAATGGAAAATTCCCTATCTAAGAATAAGAGCCTTTTTCAGATTTTGTTAACCGGCTAATGACAACAGCAGATAGGTTGTTAGGCAATGCAGATGCCAATCTTGATTGCATAAAACAATTGGCTTTTGAAAATGCTAATCCTGCATGCCAGGTGGCCATTAGGCCCTGCAAAAATAAAACTGACCTTCAAGGATATATTCGTCTTTGCTCGGACATTGGCTCCTCTTATCAACAAGGTTTAGCCATGGCCGCAGCCCTCAGTGGACAAACAGTAAAGGATTTTTTAGCTAATAAAGGCCAAAATAATAAAGGTTGCTTTAAATGTGGCAAGCCTGGTCATTTTGCTAAAAACTGTCAGGAATACCAGACAAAAGCCGTAGTCACCAAGCCTCCTGGACTTTGCCCACGATGTAAGAAAGGAAAACATTGGGCAAATGAATGTAGATCCAAAACTGATGCTCAGGGAAATCCCTTACTGTCCCCTCAGGGAAATGGGAAAAGGGTCCAGCCCCAGGCCCCGAACCAAAGGGGGGCTATCAAGTTTCTCTCAGCCAACAATAACAATCCGTTTCAAATCTCACTAGAGCAACCCCAGGGAGTGCAGGAATGGACCTCTCTTCCACCGCCCGTACAGTATTAACTTCTGAAATAGGACCTCAAATTTTAAATACAGGGATCCGCAAAAAAAAAAAAAAAAAAATCCTCTCTTAAAAGCAGTGGTTCTTTTCTTAACTGCATGTGCTACTCTTTTTCTCTGAAGACTCTGAAGTTTTGTGAAGAAAAGCAGCCATGGCCAAACAGACCCCTTTTTTGGTCTCCTGCTGTTCTCCTTAA